TCTCTCTCTCTCTCTCTCTCTCTCTCTCTCTCTCTCTCTCTCTCTCTCTCTCTCTCTCTCTCTCTCTCTCTCTCTCTCTCCCCCCGTGTCTCTCTCTGTCTCTCTGTGTGTTCAATAGATATCAATGCAGTGCTGATGTACTCTAGGCAGTTGAAAAATCATCAGAACTTTTACAGATGCCAAAAAGTAAAGAGAACAGAAAGATGGCGTAATCACACAAGTCTTCACCCTTACAGCAAGGGTAGTCGTGGCTACAAAGAGAATGGGCTGATCACGGAGCGAGGCAGTTGAATGTCTAATATTTTATATATATATGAAGCTTTTGTGAGTGCAAATATATACCAATGGTTAAGCAAATGTGTAGCTACTGTGGCCGCATTTCCTTAATATTGTTACAAACAAAGAAGAGTTCGGGACCATGTTAAGTGTGGCAGTTGAAATCGTATAGGAATCGTATAGGAAGCCTCTGCAGATGCAAGAAGGTTCATTTCACGACCAGAGGCCGATGAAGCCGTGCGTAAACTTCCATGTACTTGACTTGCCAACCTCCGCAGACTGCTTTCCACTGTAAACTGAAGATGCTAGGAAGAAGAGCGAAGACAAACAAAGGAGATCACTTATGAAAGCACACAGCACATCATGACTTCCTGTCATCCTCGGAAATTGTACGTATCGAAAACACCACCATTTTCACCAGGCTTTATAATGGATGTCGGCGGCACGCGTTTGGTGTCCCAATGCACCATGGTTCCGGAGGATCGAAATCACAATGATCTTAATTGACTCGCAATTGATGCATCAAACGGCAAGAGCGAAAAGTTCGCTTTCAACCATTGACAATCAAGAAGTCGTAGACTTGTAGCGGGGTAGCAGCCGTAGCTGTTCGCACAATTATTATCCATTTGAAGCTTGGCTTTTGCGCTTGTCACCGCCATTCACCACAGCAGATCAACATCCTGCGCACGGAGAGAGTCCAACCGTTAGTCAACGTCACCTCCATTCTCCCATTCTCCCAGAGTGAGTTGCGGTACCGTGGTGCAAAGGGAGACAGCAAAACCATTTGCTTTCAGACCAAGCATACACAACCCTTTCCTCTCTCTCTCTCTCTCTCTCTCTCTCTCTCTCTCTCTCTCTCTCTCTCTCTCTCTCTCTCTCTCTCTCTCTCTCTCTCTCTCTCTCTCTCTCTCTCTCTCTCTCTCTCTCTCTCTCTCTCTCTCTCTCTCTCTCTCTCTTCATCATGATCTCAAACCAAGATGCTTACACACACGATGCACACCTGAGATGTGAACTGGAAGATAGTCTCTGCCAGTCAACTCAAGTGAACAACAATGTCTCATATACGCTGGGCCGCTATGACCGCCGCTTAGTCCTTGTCACCCTCAGGTACGGTTTCTCTCTTCCCCTCCTCTCTCTCTCTCTCACTCTTGCCTCTCTGCCTTACCCTTGGCCTTGATCCCTCTCTCAATACCTCTCACTCTCTGCCAATCAACTCAAGTAAACAACATTGTCTTCCTATATGTTGGGCGGCTATGACCGCCACTTACTACTTAGTCCTCGTCACCCTCAGGTACGGTCTCTCTTCCCCTCCTCTCTCTCTCTCTCACCCTTACCTCTCTGCCTTACCCTTCGCCTTGATCCCTCTCTCAATACCTCTCACTACCTCTCGCTACCTCTATGGGTGCGCAGTGCCATCGAATGCTTCCTGCAAAAAGCGTGTATCAATGCATCCCAAGATAGCACAGCAGCATTTCCGTCTGGTCACACCAGCGAATATGTGTTGAAGACTTCAACAACTGGTCTTTCGTACCCAACGTTTTGCTTCCGCACCTCCTCTACCGGCTGTGGGCCGGCACCCTTGGAAATGTTTGCCTCTTCCGGAAGTTCCCTGACTTTCCTGGGACTTAGCTGCTGACGAGACCGACTGACACAAAAGGGCAAGGGCCCACCGATCTCTACCGATGTTTCCCTGTGCCTAGCGGTACCTACCTAAATTGACCTACTGCCGCCTATTGTCCTACTGGCACAGGTCCTAGTTTGAGCCTGGGAATATGGTAGATGGGACCAGGTCTGGGACTGGAACTGGGACTTGGGACAGGAACTGGAGCTGGAACCAAGGCCGACAGCTGTATACTCCTTTCTCTCCCGCTGGCCAGCTAATAGTATTGAGGTCAGAGCCTTTATTTAAACCACCACTACCTCCGAGCCTGTTTTTGCCGACCCTGATTTTCACTGCGCACCGAGTTTTGCCGAGCCTGGATCCCATTGTGTTTTCTTTTCTGGTATTCACGGCAGTTGCACCTGAAAAAGAAGAAGAAAACAAAAGAAAAGAAGCGGGAAAAAAGAAAAAAAAAAACCCTTCCCTAACGCTGTGATAACCATGAGATATATTCTACGAGGTGCTAGTTTTTTTTTTTTTTTAATAAAAAGAAAATTCCATTGCAGGCTGGGAAACGGGCCCAACGTCCCTCACATCAGAAGCTGCGGCCTACAGGGATGAGCCAGGCTCTCTGGCAGACTAGTGTGACTGTGCCCTCATTGAGGACATCTGTCTGATGAACAACGGACGAGGAAGAAAAAAAGAGAAGCATCTCTTATGCTGTGATTGCAGTTCGATACAGGACGCTACAGTACTAGTGTGAGTATGAGGTGAGTGAGGCAGTCAATTGCCACGTGTGGAATACGCCCTGCCTCACTGGCAGGGCACTACAAGGACAAGAAAAGAAGAAGAAAAAGGAAAAAAAAACAACAGCCATGGTGTTCCTCGCATAGTGGCCACATACATTCCTTGAGCACTGGTGTGGCTTCCAACACCATGAGGGCCTTCCCCGACGTCCCTGGATTGGAAGTTCCTTGTTTTTTTCATTTTCTTTTCTTCGGCCTCCAACCCTGCGATTTAGGGGCTCGTTAGACACTCCTCGGGCACATAAAATCCACAAGGACGTGATCGTTCCACCTATCCTCCGGGAAGAAATCGGGAAAAAATTGTGAAAACATTTCCTCGAGGAATCCTTGTAGCGTCCTTGAGGCCCAGGCATTTCGTGCCCTAGTGCAAGGGACCTCACGAGGTCTCTTGGAGCTCAAGGATCCGTGATAATCGGAGCGGCTAAGGCACACGTCGTCGGCAACTTTTTTTTTCCAGCTGGTCCATTGGTGTTCCGCCAGCGGCTGCAAGGACATCTTTGAGCCTCAACGTTGGGATTTCAGGCAACGGGTCGCCAACAGTTACTCTTGGAGGACGGCCGTTGTCGGGGTTCGTCTTCAATTGGGGCTGCGTCACGGTGCGTCCCGCCAGCTTCGTAGGGGTTCAACGGTCGGGAAAATTGAATATTTTAGCCAATCCCTCACGCATCCCCGCTCATGTCGGCGACAGAAAACGTTAGAGTGCGTGTGTCGTATGCTGTCCTTTAGCATTTGCTCCTTTCATCGTCGCCGTTTGGCGGACTACCACTGTCGTCGTGCAGTAACAGCCCTGTCGTAGTCGCGATTTGCTTCTCCTGTTCCACATATGCATCCTCGGCAGGGTGCCTGGGCGTACACACAGCCCCGCCTCTGCAGGATGGCCTTCGCCTCGTCTGCATCATCGTTGTTATTGGATCTTGCCATCTCGCCTCCACGAGATGACCACCGTCATCTTCGCCGCGTGTGTCCTCCTCAACGCACGTGTGTCGTCGCTTCCACTCCATCCACCCCGTCCATTTGCACTCATCATCGTCGTCTATCCCGCATCGTCGTCGCCATCGTCATCTCCCACAACTGCCATCGCCTATAACATCCTTTGGCCATCGTCGGTGCTGCCATCACCATCGCCATCGCGGGAGTTTACATCGCCATCTCGAATTTCACCGGGCACTTCGTGTGGCCATCATCGACGTCGCCATCGCCATCGCATGACGCCTGTCACCGTCGAAGCCTGCACTCGTGGATCGTTGTCTTTTGCCCCCCTAATTTCTCGCAATCAAACGATCGTCGTCCGTGAAGTCCAGCATTGCAGCGGCTGGCGTCGTTCGTGAAAGAACACTTTTTTTTTTAATAACCGGGCCCGGTGCCCAAGGCTGATATTACCAATAATAAGATTGAGGCCGGGGTCCTCACAGTCTGCCTGCAACCCATGGTGCAGCAAACCTGAAGTACAGCCTCGGTGATGGCCACGGTATCGAGCCCTTTGACCAGGACTTGATGAAGCGTCTTCCTCCTCCGCGCATGGATCTGCGCTCTCATTCTGCCCAATGCCCTCTCCTGCTGACAACGAAAGAGCACGGCCATCACGGCCCCGCCGCCTCGGCCGTCATCTCGGTCGTCGTCAACTTCGCATGTCCATCGTCGCCGCCGCCCTCCATCGGCATGCGTGTTGCAGTGCTCATCAACTACGAAAATACAACAGCCTACGAACCACGGTAACCTCAGCGCCAAGTCGCAGACGTGTGCTCGACTCCACACATACGCGCGGCGACAGGAGGAGGCGATGGCAATGGACCTTTGCGGGGCGATCACAAATTCGTGACGACTTATGACGATCCACTGTGCCGCTGCAAATGCCTGTTTCCCCCGCCGGCAGCATGGACGTCACCTGCCCCGCGTCGCCGTCGTCACATCCAGCACCCAATTGGAAATTTGATTTTTGAGCGGGGAGGTCCATTGCTTTTTAAAGTTTTTTTTCCCCCCCCCGTCGCCAGCGCCTTTCAAACATTGCCGGCTTTGGCAGCTGGACCATACCGTCGTGAGTCGAACATCACCCAATGGACCAAGGCATTGCCCCCCCCCCCGCGGACTATAATATTATGAAAATGGTCGCGGGGGGTCAAAAAAGGAATCATCCTCGGGAGACCACCCTGAGGATAGGTGGAACGACGGCGAGAATTTCCTTCAAAA